GAGCCACTGAATTGGGCTCAAGCTCGACTAAAACCGAGCCGAACCGAGCCGAGCTTTTCACGAGTCGAGCTCGAGCAACTCGTGAAAAACTCGGCTGGTTGCCACCCCTACATACCATACAACACCAAATGGAATTTAAGTCCACCAATTAGACTTTTTCCAGGCAAAATCTATGATGTATCTGTGGCACTACGCAAATGTGGTGATTGGTGACGAAAAGTGAATCTATACTACCTATAAAAGAGCAATGCCTTTTTTTTTGGAATTTTCATTGGACGTTTTCCATCCCTTTTGTCTACAAGTATAAAGACGACATATATGTCCTAAACTGCCCACTTATAACTGTTCAGAAACTACCCATTGAGAAAATGGCTGCAAAAGTATTGTTAAAGGGATTGTTGTCATCATCATCAGCAATAACGTCAGAGGTTCTATTCAGTTTGCCCAAGAACCCAACGGTCTCTACTTCTCTCCCTTTCCACCACCCACCTCTCTCTCTCTCTGTTTTTACTTTTCTTAGTTTGTAGTGGTTTTTAATTTATAGGGGCTACCCATGTCAAAGGAAAGATCATAGGCCTCTCACAAGGTTGTTTCCATGGATTTCATATTCATGCTCTTGGCAATACCACCAATGGCTGCAATTGGCTACCCATTTTTTTTACTTGATCTTATGATTTTGGTTTAATTGGTTAAATTTTTTTTAATCAACACTAAATCGTTGATGCTTACCTATTTCTTTGTTGGTTCTATTCTTGTGGTTTGGTTAGTAAACATGGTTTCTTGTGTTTTTTTTTGTCTTCTTCCCATGTTAAAGGCCCTCATTTGTATCCAATAAACAAGGATAATGAACTGTGTCTATTAATTAATCTCGGATTTTGATATTGTAGGGCCTCATCTGAACCCGGTAAAGAAGGATTGTTGAGCTCCTTCTCTATTTATTAACCTTCAATTCTGGTTTTGTGTTTTCAGTCTGATTTTTTTTTTCTTTCACAAAACAAAATTATACATATTGGTGATCACCCTAAAATGGTCATTTTTTGTGGTAGTCACTATATTTAATCAAGTCAGAATGTTGATTTTCACCCATTTCTTTGCCATTTTTATTCTTCTGGTTTGGTTAATAAAATATAGGTTTTGGTGTTTTCCCTTTTATCTCCTTATTGCAGGACCTCAGTTCAATCCACTAAAGAAGGATCATGGAGCTCCTTCTGATGAAGAGCGGCATACGGGTGACCTGGGAAACATAGTGGTAGGTGCAAATGATTTGTCTTGTCTATAGCTTACTTTGCTTCTAGGAGTTGCTGAAATTTTCATTAAGGACATGCAGGTTTTATATTCTACCTTACCTACCTTAAACCACTATTTCAAATTCTTGCATTATGGAGTGTCTTACCAATTTCATTTGAGCTTTGAGGAGTTCATTTTACTTTCTGTCTGAAATGTAGATTCCCCTAACCGGGCAGCACTCAATACTGGGAAGGGTAGTTGTTGTACATGCTGATCCTGATGATCTTGGTAGAGGTATGGCATTGGAAACTAGTATTTCTTTGAAAGTTTCTGGTACAAATAGCTCAGTTTGTTTCCTTTAACTTCTGGCAAAGAGTATTTGAAGTTGGAGAGGTTAAGTATCCAAATAAGGTGTTTTTCTTTTCCTGGTCAGTAGTAGCTAAATAAGTTCAAAACCTTGGTTGGCATTTGCTTGTAGGTCATAAAATTTAAGTATAAAGATAGTACCCCGAGGCACTTAACAGATTCTTTTTTTTTTCATCTTATTCTTAATTAGAGAAGTTATTACTAGATTTTAAAAGATGGAGCTAGATGCTGGAAATGCTTGAATCTCTTCCTCTAGGCAGATTTATGAACGGAGAAGGTGAAAACTTAATGATCAGTTTGCTACTAATCATGATGCATAGTTACAAAGCACATAAACTCATTGGAGTAATAACATGATGGTTCATTGGTGGCCCTTGGGTGCAAAGTTCTCCATAAGGCTTCATGTCTCTTTTCACTAAATCTTGATGACTATTTCTATAAACTAAATATATTGGGGAAGAAAGGATTTTATTCCTAAAAGCTAGCAACCTCATTTTCCATCAGAAATACCTATATATGCAGTGTAATCCTATATCAAGAAAAGCAGGGTCTGAACTTTTTATGTGTCTCTCTTCTACTTTATTCATAGTTTCCTGCATTATCTTGTTAGAAACTATTGCATCCAAGTATCATAAATTCTTATATAGAGTAATATTTTCTTTACTAGACTGAATTCCTTGGTGAAGTTTATGAGTTGCCCCATGCCATGAAAGATTCATCATTTTCCAGTAGAAGTTTTGCTTTCTTCTTAATGGGGACAAATGGGATTCCAGTTTGCTTTCTGAGTAACATGGAGCCACAATTATGTTAAGGATCTTCAATGCATTTAAATCCTATTGGACAAGAAAATAAAAACATTCCCATGATAACTAAGATGAGATGCATGTCTCTGCATACAAGGAGTAGGCGTATAGTTTGATGCTTGTAGGGAATTATTAAGCCAGAGGAAAAGAGACTCCTTAATAAGCTTTCATAATTGATGCATGTCTCTGCATACATGTGAAGCTTTTGAAGAGGTCAAAGGATGTTGTGAAATTAAATTTGGAAATGGAGCATGAATATATTTGTGAATGGAATGGATGCATTTCTCCCTCGAAGGTAGTATCTTTCTCTAGAATATAGAATATAGTATCTTTCTCTAGAAATGCTCCAGAGAAGCTCGAATAAATGACAAAACAAAAATACCAGAAATCCTTTGATCATTGTGAAGTATTAGATAAAGGTGGAAACACAGCAAACAATGCAGATAGCTAAAGAGAGAAATTTGTCATTAGTACTTTGGTGTAAGTTGCTAATTTTCTAACTTTTGTGGTTGTGTTTTACTTGATTTTTTTTGAGTTCATAGCCAACAATAATACCTTTTTCCCCATTTCAAAACAAGCTAAACCTCTTTGCACAGTCAATAATGAGAATATGACTTGTAGCTATGGTGAATTTATTGATTATGGCACATTGACAACACTGGCATGGACTTCCCCCCCTCCCCAAATTCACCCAACCTTTTTCTAAGGTGGATATAAAAAATATGTTGGTGAGTCTGTTGGAGTGCTCTAATAGGTATACTAGAAGTGTGATTTGAAACATGTTTTAGAGACTTGATTGAGAATTAATTTGTGGTGTCTCTGTTTTCTGAGGTAAAATTCATCATGGAAGAGATAAGTATCTAAAAATGGAAGTGGAAAATTTTTCATATTTTCTTTTGATGAGTATTTTTGCCAACTTCCAGTACCAAAATTCTTTCTTCTTTTTGATTTCAACCAGAGCCATAAAGCATATATGGACAACTATCTTGTACTAGATTAACATCACTCCATCTTTTCATTCTTTCCTGAACTGGTAATTTTTGTATTCCGTGTGTCATGGGTAATTATGGGGAAGTAAAAATGTTCAAGATATGGAAGGGAGTCCACTGTGTATATTATTTGTATAGGACCACTATGTCTTGTTTTTAGACCATTTGACATATACTATAGGCTTTTACTAAATGGTCATGTGTTATGGATGCATTCCTTGGGAAGACGTACCGTTGCCGTCGGCAGCAACAGGAACCTGACCCACCGCCAACAGCAGCAGGGATTCAATGATTCTCATCCTACCCAGTTCGGCAACAGCAGTCTTATCTAGATTAGATTATATCATCTTGCTTGTTCTTATCTTATTCTATTGCTCTTATCTTATCTTTAGTAGATTATTAGATTAGGATTAGCTTATCTTATCCTTAACAAGATAGAACTGGAAGTCTCCCTATTCAGCAAGGAGACTCCTTAAGATTAGGACTCTTGTAATCTCCTATTTAAGGAGACACCATTGTTAAATGAGGATATCGAATATTCAATTAAAGAAGTGAGTTAGGAGAGTTGGTGATCTCTTGAACAAATCACCAGAGGCGCCAAGATAGGTTCATCAAGAGCAGGAAGGAACAAGGGAAAATAGGAGGTTTTCCCCGTGGATCGACCCATGACAAGATCCTATTCCCGGGCCCTCAACAACTTGGTATCAGAGCAAGGCGTCATGGGAGATCTAGAGCAGCTACCATCCAGGGTCCACGACCTCGAGCACCAACTCGTGGARACCAGCTCCGAAGTACGTGAGATCAAAGACGAAGTGAGGGAGTTGTGACATCTGATGGAGATGTTCCTTTCTAGCAGGGAAAGGAACTCTGAAGGAGGGACAACCGCTAACGACAGCCGACCAGATCTGCCAGAGTCTTCCGGCGAACAACAGTCCGTTATCCAAGGAGCCGCAGTCATCCCCAAGTATAGCAGGTTGGAATTCCCGTCGTACAACGGCAATGGAGACCCCTTAGGCTGGTTGTATCGCTGCGAGCAGTTTTTTTCGGAATCAATGGACAGATGACCGGGATAAGGTAAGTCTAGCCACCTTTCACTTAATAGAGGAAGCACAACTTTGGTTTTATCGGTTAGAGCAAGAAGAACCCGGGCTCAGTTGGCCCCAGTTTAAGTCCTATTGCCTTCTTAGGTTCGGACCCCACTGACCAACAACCCCTTGGGCGAGCTGATTAACCTTAAATAGACCGGCACAGTGGCTGAATACCAGCGACAGTTCCAAACCCTCCTCGCGAGGGCATCCTCCGTGCGACCCGACCAACAAGTGGATATGTTCACGGCAGGGCTAGCATAACCCCTGCGGGTGGATGTCGAGATGTAGAATCCCCCAAATTTGGTCACAACCATGAACTTAGCCCGTGCGTTCGAGCGCAAGCTGCAGCTCAGCCGTGGAATTTTTAATGTGGGTCATCCACCAAACTCATGGGTACCCCCAAGATTAGCAACAACGACCCCCTCTTCTGCTACCATCCGGGAACTGAAATCTCACACAACCACCGCCTCTAGACCAGTGACAAGTACAGGTAGTAACATGGCCGCTCCACCCATTAAGCGTTTGACCAGGGCAGAAATGGCAGAACGCCGAGCGAGAGGCCAATGTTTCAACTGTGATAACCTCTACTCAGCAGGACATAGATGCAAGAGGCTTTTTTGCCTCCTCATCGATGAACAAGAGGAGGATGAAGGAGAACCCATCATATTCGAGCCAGAGATCACTCTCCATGCGATCATCGATAATAAAACCTCTCAGACCATGCAGTTACAGGCACAGATAGCAGGTCAACCGGTACGCATTCTTGTCGATTTAGGGAGCACACACAACTTCATAAGTGAACATGCTGCCCTTCAGTTAAAACTCCCAATGGAACTCCGGCCGCGACTACAGGTAACCGTCGCAAATGGTGAGAGAGTTCATAGTCCAGGAATTTGTAAGGACGTGCCGATACAGGTCAATTCTGAACTGTTTCTTGCTGATTTATTTGTACTCTCTTTGGATGGGTTCGATATTGTTCTTGGGGTCAAATGGTGAATTACCCTAGGCCCGATTTTATGGGACTTCAGCGCACTCACAATGACATTCCACCTAAATGGGAAGCAAGTTTCATGGCACGGTTGCAGGGTTAAAGAAAAGACACCACAGGTCCATGCACTTCTGACAGAACCGGCAGCCATGGAAAAACTCCTCGCCGAGTTTTCAGATCTATTCCAGGAACCCAAGGGACTCCCTCCTCCCCGAGCTTGCGACCATCGTATTCCTTTGGTGGCGGGTTCAGCACCAGTCATTGTCCGGCCTTATCGCTACCCTCACCTACAGAAGGACGAGATAGAAAAATAGTGTACAGAGATGCTGAAACAAGGAATCATACGCAAAAGTCACCCCCCCTTCTCTTCGCTGGTTTTGTTGGTGGCGAAGCAGGATGGAACGTGGAGGTTCTGTGTTGACTATAGAGAACTCAATGACCGGACGATCAAAGATAAGTTCCCTATTCCCGTTGTGGACGAACTGCTGGATGAGTTGCACAGTGCTCAGTATTTCTCTAAGTTGGACCTCAGGTCTAGGTATTTCCAGGTTCGCATGGCTCCCAGTGACGTGAAGAAGACTGCCTTTTGCACCCACCATGGCCACTTTGAATTTTTTGTCATGCCATTCGGTCTCTCCAACGCCCCATCCACATTTCAGTCATTAATGAACGAGGTATTTCAGCCCCATCTGCACAAATTTGTTTTAGTTTTCTTTGATGATATTCTCGTTTACAGCAAATCATGGGTAAAGCATGTGCACCATCTGCGGACCATTTTTGATCTCCTACGGCAACACAAATGATTCCTCAAACGGTCCAAGTGCTCCTTCAAGGAGCGACAGGTTCTTTATCTCGGCCACGTCATCCATGGGCAGGGTGTGACAGTTGATAGTCCCAAAATTCAGGCTATAAAAGAATGGCCCAAGCCTCAATCAGCCAAGGCCTTACGCGGGTTCCTCGGATTAATGGGCTACTACCGCAAATTTGTCCAGAACTATGGATTGTTCGCGGCCCCGTTAACCAACCTGTTAAAGAAAAATTCCTTCCGGTGGGACGACGCAGCCGATGAAGCTTTTCTGACACTGAGAAATGCCCTATCTTCCACCCCAGTCTTGCAATTACCAAATTTCGCCCTCGAATTTACAGTCGAGTGCAATGCCTCCGGAGTAGGTATCGGGGCCGTATTACAGCAGCAAGGGCACCCGATTGCTTTCTTCAGCCGCAGACTGGCCGATCGGCATCTGAAGCTTCTAGTCTATGAGCGCGAACTAATCGACCTAGCCCGAGCCATCCAGCACTGGAGGTCATATTTGTGGGGGCGGTCGTTTGTCATCAAAACTGATCATTACAGCCTCAAATACCTGTTAGAGCAATGTTTCACCACTTCCCCTCAGCAGCATTGGGTTAGCAAACTGCTCGGGTTCGACTTCCGGGTGGAATACAAGGTGGGGTCCTCAAATCACGCAGCTGATGCCTTATCTAGGCGAGATGAAGACGCGATGGCTCTGTGTGGCATTTCCCAACCCCGGATCTCTCTATTTGACGACATTAAGAAGGCAGCACCGCAGTCCCTAGAATGGTCGCTCTTGGTCCAGAAGATCCAGTCCGGCACTGCCGACCCCAATTGGTCACTTCAAGACGGGTTGGTACTATATAAGGGACGAGTTCATCTTCCGCCAGACTCCCCATTGATTTCCACCATCATCACCAGCATCCATAACTCCACCCATGAAGGCGTTCAAAAAACACTCCACCGCGTCTGGGCTGATTTCCATTGGCGAGGTATGAAGACTTCTATTCGAGATTTTGTCCAGATTTGCTCCACGTGCCAACAGCAGAAATGGGAAAACCTACACCCGGCAGGCCTCCTTCAGTCCCTTTCCATTCCGACACAGATCTGGGCCGACATCTCCATGGACTTCATTGAGGGACTACCCAAGGTAGGTGGCAAATAAGTTCTCTTCGTGGTAGTCGATCGCTTCTCTAAATACGCCCACTTCATTCCTCTATCACACCCGTACAATGCCACTTCAGTTGCCCTCGCCTTCTTTACACATGTTTTTCGCTTACATGGGTTACCAGAATCCATCGTCAGCGATAGGGACCCGGTTTTCACTAGTGCCTTCTGGAAGGAGTTATTCTGGCTACACGGCACCACCTTGGCCTACTCATCGGCTTATCAGCCACAGACTGACGGTCAAATGGAAGTGGTCAACCGCACAATCGAGATGTATCTCCGTTGTTTCGTAAGCGATCAACCGCGACGGTGGGTGGATTGGCTCCCTTGGGCCGAGTACTGTTACAACACAGCCTACCATTCTTCCCTTGGCATGACTCCCTTTCGCGTCGTTTATGGCCGGGATCCTCCCCGCTTGCTGTCCTACGAGCCTGGTTCTACTCGTTTGGAAGCAATTGATCACTCCTTACAAGAACACGACGCCCTCCTAGCCGGCGTCCACCTTCGCTTACAGCAGGCCCAACTCCGCATGAAGCTCAACTATGACAAGCACCACCGGGAACTGTCGTTCGATCCAGGACAATTTGTTTGGTTAAAACTCCAGCCCTACTGGCAACGCTCCTTGCGCCACAGGGCTGCCCCGAAGTTGGCCCCTAAGTTCTATGGGCCCTTCAAGGTTCTACGATGGATTGGCAGTGTTGCCTACCAGCTGGAATTGCCAAAGACCAGCCGGATTCATGATGTCTTCCACATCTCCTTATTGAAGCCATTTACGGGTGCCCCTCCGGACCAAGTCCCCTCCCTGCCTCCCTTGAAAGATGGCAAACTGGTTCCCCAACCTAAAGTTCTCACCCGCTCTCGTCACAATCGTGGAATTATTGAAGTCTTGGTGGAATGGTGTAATTTACCATCGGCCGAAGCCACATGGATCCCATTGGCAGAGTTCCACGTCACATATCCGGAGTTCGAGCTTGAGGACAAGCTCGTAGTCCAGGAGGGGAGTAATGTTATGGACGTATTCCTCGGGAAGACGTACCGTCGCCGCCGGCAGCAACAGGAACCTGACCCACCACCAACAGCAGTAGGGATTCAATGATTCTCATCCTACCTAGTTCGACAACAGCAGTCTTATCTAGATTAGATTAGATCATCTTGCTTGTTCTTATCTTATTCTATTGCTCTTATCTTATCTTGTTAGTAAGTTATCAKATTAGGATTAGTTTATCTTATTATCAGATTAGGATTAGCTTATCTTATCCTTAGCAAGATAGAACTAGAAGTCTCCCTATTCAGCAAAGAGACTCCCTAAGATTAGGACTTTTGTAATCTCCTATTTAAGGAGACACCATTATTGAATGAGGATATCGAATATTTAGTTAAAGAAGTGAGTTAGGAGAGTTGGTGATTTCTTGAACAAATCACCAGAGGCGCCAAGATAGGTTCATCAAGAGCAGAAAGGAAAAAAGGTAAAACATGAGGTTTTCCCCGTGGACCGACCCGTGACGAGATCCTATTCCCGGGCCCTCAACATCATGCCTAGCCTATTGACTTAAGCAAAAAAGCATTTTAGAAGAGATAGATCACTTCTGAAGATACTAGCTAATACCCACTCTTGGAGATTCTTGTTTTTATATTTTCGATTGTCCAAAGAGACAAAGAAATACAGTACCTTAACGCTATGTTTGGTTTGAAGGAAAGAGTAGGGAAAGGAAGAGAAACCTACACAAGATTTGTAAAGGTTTCCCTTCCTTTCCTTTCCTTTCCCTACCTTTTCCTTCAAACCAAACATAGCCTAAAGGGATAAGAACATTACCCTGGAATGGTCTTGAAGTTTTGTCATTTCAAGGTTCTTTATTATCATAGCCATATCTATTTTAAAATTTAATTCGCTTCATTTAGATTTTTTTTTTTTTTTTTTAACAATGAGACAACTTCATACTATTGATAGTTAAAGATTACATGAGAGTTTCGGCTAGAGTCAAAGTGAGTAGTTACTCTAGCTTTACAACCTAAGTAAGCTAGAATATGGGCAGCCTGATTTTTTTCTCCATTAACAAAACATGATGATTGTTGTTATGGACTTCTCTTTTGAGTCAAATATTCAGCAATTTTTTTTCTTCACAAATACCACCTATTGTTATTAACTTTTATTCATTTTAACTATCCTTTTAATATTTACCTTCTTCATAGGTTCAAGCTCATGGGTCAGATGTCCAGTCCAACCTTCCAACAGAAACACAAGTTAAAATTGACAAATTATTGTTTTTCATTTTTTATAATTCATGCTGCTGTCATATGCTGGTTTATTTTATCACTTCTACCAAGTAACTTGCAGATAAAATCCACAATTATCCCTAAAGTTTTTCTTTTTCTTTAATATCTTTTCTTGTTCAGGTTGGTGCAGTGCTCGAGCTAATCACTATGATCCTTTGATAGCCCATCCTGCTCCATTTGTTTCCCAAGAAAAGGCTGTTGATGTACTCTGAGGAAGCCATTTAATCGTTCAATTCTGTGGCTTAGAGGTTAAATACACTTAGCCAGATAGAGAGTTTCATTTTGTTTATTTCTTTTTATTTAAAAATGCTTTGGCAGTAACATAGTCCTTACAACTCTTTTGTGGATTGCAAGGAAAATTCCATTGCACACTTTCCATTTTTAACCAGATTTGCTTTTTCTGGTTAAAAATCAAGAATGGAAACGGAGCGGGTTCGTGGTGGGATCACACTCCTCGTCCCCAACCCCAAGTTTGGAATATATCCCCATTCTCGACCCTAATCCCCATCTGATACCAATCCATTGGCAAAGAGTTTATCCACATGAAGCTTTGATGTTTACTCTATAGAAAAAGGAAATAACCCCTTGACCCCATTTTATCATTCTATAGAGTTTATCCACAATTTTTTTTCTCTTTGTTTTTCTTTTTTCCCCAAATTTTGGAAGGTTTAGAAAAAGATAATAACCCCTTGACCCCAATTTTTAGATAAGTAGGGCATTTCACTTTTTTATTCAAAAATCTATACTACCAAGCGCAAATGCCCCTTCTCTTTGGAATTTTCATTGGACATTTTCTACCTACTTTGTCTAAGCATACAATGGGCATAAAGAGGGTATATATGTCCTTTACTCTCACTTCATAAACTGGCCACTTATAACCGTTCAGAAATTGCCCATGAATTGTAAATAGTTTTGTCTTGGAGATACTGCCACGTGCAAATGCATGTACATGTTTACTAGTAGGTTTTAACATTTTTTTTTTGTACTTAACACAACACACACTAACTTTTCAACATAGGTGGTGAATAGCAGGATTCGAAACTGCATCTCTGGTGGAACTACCCAGCTAACATGCCAACCGAGCCACCACTAGTTGGTCTAACATAATTGCTTGAGATATAAATTTAACATGCATGCTATACTTGAACTGCTTTTATTTTTTTTAATTTTCCTTCTTTTTGAAACAAATTATTGGCCTTTGATTTGATGCTTTTGGCTCATCTGATCAAGTTTAAAACAACTATAGGGTCTTGCTCGATTCATCTTGTTTGCTTTATCCTTGAATACTTTCTAGAAATTGTTGAGAAAACCATAGAGAAAACCATACTTTCTAGAAGTTGTTTGCTTTATCCTTGAATCCTTGAATGCTTTTGTGAGTGCTTAAAAATAAGTGCTTATTTGGGCCATTAAGTACTTATTGGTATTTGGAAAATAAGCACAAAATAAGTGCTTATTTTAAAATTAATGTCTTATTATTTAAGCCCAAATTTCCAACTTTTTTAAGTGTTTATACAATAAGCACTTATTCAATTTTTTCTTCCAAAATTATC